AGAAATTCAAGTACAACCTTCTTCAGTTTAAAGAGCAACTACCATCTGAGTTCCTCAAACCCTTACCAAAGAAAGTCCTGGTAACAAAGTCGCCAACAGAGTGGTGTCTTGAAAAATTGCTATCAATGCGTGCCCCATATCAGCACTTTGTTCCTGGTTTGTTGTGCCTTGCTGAAGTTTGTCTGTCGCTACCTGTGAGCAACACATGGCCAGTAAGAGGTGCTTCTGCCGTTAAGAGGCTGAAGACTAGAATGAGGAGTAGAATGAACACTGACATGCTGGGTGCATTGATGCACATCACACTGAATGGGCCAGACGTCAAGGACTCTAGTCAGTTGATTGATGCTTCTGTGATTGATGCTTCTATATAAAAATGCAATTTTACATGTACTTTTAGAATTGAACATTTTCTTGAATCTTATTGAATGTATATTATGATAAATGTGTGATTCAATATTTACTATGATTGAATAAAACAATTATTTTCCTGTTGATAGGGCTAGAGGATTTAGTCTCTARGATACACTCGATTCTATGTCAGAATGCTGGAAATTGTGTTTTTGAGCCATCGAAWTTTAAAAATTTCTTGAGGGGGCATGCCCCCAAACCCCCCTAGAAGGCGTTTTGGACACAGACGCCTACTTGTACTGCTTTAGCCATCTACTTAAAATTTTATTGACATTCCTGAGACTATGCTGAAGGGGGTTTAAGGTTGACTGATTTTGGAAGTTATTTAAAAGCAACTAGGATAAAAAAATTAACTGATTTAATTTCACAAAAAAATAGTATTTCTAGTGTTATACTTTAAACATACTTACAGCAAATAGGGGGTATAGAGCACGTAAGAGATAATTTTAATTCAAAAAGAATACCAATCAATACCCCGCCTTACTATAGAGAAATGTTATTAGATTGGGCCGAACTAACGAAGTATTTTCAAAGCAATACTAAAAATCAKCATATTTGGAACAATCGGCTATTACAAATTGGAGGAAAATCAATCTTTTATACCATATTTACCCATGTATAAGCCGCTCTCGTAGATAAGCCGCACCCCGAGTTTTGGGAACGTTTTTGAGAGAAAAAAAAGTTGGAAAAGTAACTCAAAGCATGTTTTGAATCAACAGGCAATATATAACTTCTTTATTTTCAAAACTTAAAATAAGATGACAAATATAGTGTTAAAATCTGATATGAAAACTTTGTTATAAAAATGTTATAAAAAAGGTTAGAGTTCATCCAAATCTGTAAAAATTCTTCATCATCGCTTTCAAACAGTCTCTCATAATCTT